CTCTAAGCCTGTTAGCAGGTAGTATAAGAACTACCTTTAAATAACAGATTCTAGCTTATAATTCTACACAATTTTATGTTTTTCACTACTTAACCATAGTTTATTATTATTTTATTAAAAAGTTTAATTGAGAATTTTTATAACAAGAGATTGTTAAAAAAAGTTAAAAATTTTTTATCATAATCTTTAATTTTTTTTTTTGTTTTTAACAATCATATAAAGTTTATATTTATAATAAACATAATATCTATTTATAGCTATACTATTTTAAACTAAAGAAGATATAACAACTTAGTATAGTGGTCTAGTCATCACTTTCTCCAAGTAGCAGGTCTAGAGTTTAAATCCTACAAATGATAAATTTTGGAAAATAGGCTTGCGCTATTGTTAATGGTTATCGATTATTAGTTGAATCTAGAATTAAATCTGTAATCTCAGTTACACTATCTAGTAATAGAAGCTTTGGCATAATAAACCCAAGGAACCAGAATAACTGAAAACCCATTTGGAAAGTTCTGAGTTTAGAAGTAACAATGAACTAGGGCCTGAGATTAAAAAACTGAGCAACCAGGTCCTAATGGCAGAGAATATATTAGCTAAACTGCCAGGTTCTGTTATACTGGAGAAAAAGGACATATGCTTCGAAAGTATGTATCAAGAGAAGAGTATTCTTTAGACATCTAAAGCCTGGGCAAACTGACTCTTCTAAGTTGTTAGCTGGAAATAAGGGATGAACTAATAGAAAATCTAGATAAGAAGATAGCTTAAATATAGGTATTGGGGTTGTTGTAAACTTTAACAAGAGCAAGAGTAAGTAATAGATGACTAATTAGAAAGGTTGTGGTTTGAGATACAGACCAGGTTATAGGGTGGCTTGAAATACAAACTTGGTGATAGCAACACAACAAGTACTAATTAGTTGCAGGAGTTCAATAGTTAGCCCTAACCCTAAATATATAAGTCAAGCTATAATGTAAAGTTACTAAAGTTTGGATGAATATATAGATAAGACATATACTCTAGCAAAGGCAGCTAAGGCCTAGTTATACGATATCTTTAAATATGCTATGCCATATGTGAGATATTGTAATTAACATCAGGTGAAAATCTAGGTTGGGCATCCTGTAGAAAAGCCGGCCTAATATCTGATGTGCATATTGAGTCTGTAAATCTTAACAAATCTTTAGTATAGAGTTATTCAGGAAAAAAAAATAATAATTTTAAACTAAAGTGTAGCTCACCTAGTTGCCAATTGGTACCTTTATATAACTTGCCAAAATAGAATTAACTTTGCTACTTCTTTCTTATCTATCTCAGATAACAAATTTGTAATTTATTGGTCTGGATCTACAGCTTGTCATAATCTAGTCTAATTTTTATTCTATCTAAACTATTTTTTGGTTCATATCTATTTATTTATCTTTTTTGTCACTATATTAATTCTTTCTTTGAATAAAAGTTCAACTCTTTCCAATGATTACTTGTATCATTTTTTCTGCTAAAAGAAAAACATTAAAACTAGTGAAGAGTTGAGTAGCTATAGTAACGGTTTGTAGTAAAGGTCAACATTTTCCAGGAACTCCTTACTATTCATTTGGCATGCAAGCCAAAAGCCTTGTTAAGAGAAAAATACAGGTGGCACTCTTGGCCAGAAAAAATTTTGGTGGACAAAATCTCTGTCAATAAAGTTCTATAGTCTACAGTTTCAAGAGGTCTATAATAGTGGTTTTTAGAGGCAAACAAAGTGTTAACCTCTTCCCTCTATATTCAATATACAAGCCAGAAGCAAACTATACAAAGGAGAAAAAGGCAGGTGGCATTCCTAGGTGTGGTAAATTTTGATAGGGATATGTTTTCTTCTGTTAATGAAATTATTAGGACTCTTTTGAGACCCAGGAGTACACCAGTTTTTTTAGTTTTCAACACTTTTTCTCAAGGTTTTGGACTTCCTGCACTTGTTTTTATTTTATCATCATTTTTATCAACTTTTTTCGAAAAAATGTGGGGATTTGGCTACCCCCTTCAAACAATCGACATTGTTTATCACTTCTATTTTTAGAAGTTGTTATTGCGATATGGCATATTAGGGAAACAACAAACATGTGTGGAGCATGTGGCGATTTCTATTATTAGATTTAATTTATGAAAGGGTTTTCAGTTTGTTTTGGATACTTTTATTAGCATCATGTGAGATATATGTTATCCCGAAGTCACATATATAATATTTTTTTAACTTGGCACAGATTATAATAGTACTGTTGCCATTTTTGTTTCTTCTTTTTTTTATTCTGTCTTTTTTTTTTCTTTCTTTTTTAAGGTTTTTGTGTAGTTTTTTTTGTAGTATTTGTTTTGGTATTTTCTTTTTTGGTTTTAAACTTTCTTTTTTTTTCTTTGATTTTGAAGTTTTTTCATTAAGTAGTTAGAAGTTTTTCTTTCTACTCAGGAAGTTAAAAGAAGAAGATTTAGGGTTTAAAAAGAGAAAGCAATCTTGATGGCCATAAATGCCACTCAGTGATATATTGAACTTCTTTATTTGTAGAAAAGAAGAAATTTTACTATAGCAAATCGCACATGGATAATTTGGACTTTTGTTATATAAGACTCTCGTCGCAAAGAGCCAAGTGAGTCAATACTTGTATTTAGGAGTAATATATTTAGCCCAGTGTTAAAGTTAGCTTATTTATGAAATAGATATAAAACAGATATGTGAGATTTATACCTAATAAAATATTGACAAGGTTACCGAAGTTTTTAAAAAAAAAAATTCTTTCTTTAAATATATTTTATTAGTTTTTTTTGTCTTTTTTTCTTGAAGTTTTCCTTTGCTAAGTTAAATAGATTTTCAGAATTAACTATGTTTATCTTTTCTAAATTTTTTGTTTTCTAAGACCTTTTTTCTTTCTTTTTCTTGAGGTTAATTTATAATTTTTTTTTCTATCTTGTAACTTCTTTGTAGTATCAAAGCCAGATCTTTTTCTAAAAGAAGCTATATCACTTGTTTTACTATTTAAATATTATCAATTTTGTATCTTTTCTGGTAACCTCTATTAACTTAAGAGAAATTGTTAGGCCTGTTTTAATTAGTCCTCTTGTGAGATGACTTCTTTTCTTGTGTCTATCTATAACACTTCTACTAGCAAATACTAAGTATTATTTTGTAATATTTTTTTTTTTACAGAAATTTCCAAATTCTACTAGATTTCTCTGACCAATGGTGCACCATTTAAATTATCTTTTTAAAATATTATAATTAATTGGTGTATATCAAAAATTCCAAGAAAATCATTCAAATCAAAATAGTAAACAATATACTTTGTCAACTTTATATAATATAAGATCTCAAAGTTTTCCTATACTGTATAGCTAATAATACTATTATATAACAACTAATAATTTTTCCAACCTTTTTCTTTAAAAAATTAGATAATAAATAGCTTTACTCTAGTGCTTCTAGATCTAGTTTGGGTTTGGTTTAACATTAAACTAAACCTAAACTTTTAAGTTTTACTAACTTCAAACTTCAAACCAGATTTAAATTTTGGTTTAGGTTTGGTTCAAAATCTGCAAGTCTGAGCCTAAAAATATATACTAAAAATTTTACTATTAAAATAATAGTCGTTTATTAAGCAAAAAATACCTAGCTAATAATTTACTATAGCTTCTGCTAACCTAACATATATGTATTTTTGAGTGGCTAACTTATGGGCCTATTGTACTAAAAGATATGTAATTTGCCATTTTTAAAACATTAAATAACTTTTGATGTACTGGTTTGTTTTGAATTAAACAACTACCAAAATGTTCGTTTCGATGAGATGAGCATTTTGGTAGTTGTTTAATTCAAAACGAACAAGTACATCAAAAGTTATTCAATGGTTTAAAAATGTCAAATTACATACTTTTAGTACAATTCCAAAAATGGGCCTATATAAACAAGTTTACTTAGAGCACTAAGGCCATACAAAATTAAACAATTGTTTCTCATAACATAGAATTCTAAAAGTGACCCGCCCGGCTTTTAATTTTTAAATCGTAAAAATTTTATAAATTTTTCTTTGTCTAGAAAATATTAAAACATAAAAATTTTACCCGGAAGTATTTATAATATAAATAACAAAACTTTGTATCGAAAATTTATAAGCTAACCCGACCGGGTTATAACAATTAATTAAGCCTAAGTTAAATACGATCACGTAATAGCGATAACAATCTACAGAATATGCAGCGTTGACCGACCAATTTGCCAATAGCCAAACTTCGCAACACTGATTCAGAATATAGTAGAATGACCAGGATTATGATGCGACATATTATCGTTATGCGCGATTTTTATTATATGAAAACGCTCACTTTCATGCAACATGTGACCTGACTTGTCTTACTTTTTGAATTGCATAATTTACAATTTGCCGCACACATAATTTTGCATAACCCTGGACACTCTAGAATATATGGGCTATATATAAAAAAATGAGATTAGCCATAAATTTATTTGACCTATGATTTTAATATCAAAGCACATAATCATATAAGTGTACATACTTTTGGCTAGCTCGAAAAATTACGATGAAATAAAGAAAATTGTCTTTATTAATAACATACCATATCTTGATTACCAGCAATTAATAAAAAAAAAAAAAAATCACACACTGAAAGAAAATGTTTCCTTGTATGTTATAAAGATTAAATGGTTTATTTTAATTTATAAATAGAATTAGAAGTTTCCATGTAAATTTTATCAATTCTATTGTTGTCAAAGATAAAAAATATTATATACATAAAATCATTATTCAAAAGACTGGAGATTAGAACTAACAATTCGTCACGTTTAAAGTTCAGAAACTGAAAAAAATTTCAATAATGAATGATAAACAAAATAACTTAATCATTAAATATATACGTAATAAAAGTTTTGAGATTCGGCACACATCTAGATATTAGTCACATTAAACCATTTTAATACTGCTTCATCATAGAAAAGTAAATAACACTCTAGGGATTCATACGGTTCGATCACGCCAAAATACACGTTTAGAAATGCATAGCAAACTATGTAACGGATTGGTTTTGTCAGCAACAATTACACCCACAATATTCCAAGTCATTTCGTGATAGTCCAAGTCATCACGAAATGAATCTTCCAAGCTTGAAGGCAAAGGAAATATTTGTCTTTTATCGGTTGAGTTTTCTTGATCTTTTAATGGAACTGGAGGACCCAAATGTACAGCAGATGATACAATCGCAAAACGATATTTGTCTCGGGTCTCATCGTAGGATATTTCATAACTATATAAAGATAAGATCGTTAGCGTAAGTTTCAGATATTTCAGCAAATAAAGCTCCCTTACCGTTCATCATCATTCTCTAAATACATTACTTCATTTTTAAGACGTTTTCTCACGGATTCATCGTCTGCCATCAATTGAGGAGTATACTTGAAGCTATATAATATAAATGAATAAAAACAAACTATAATAGCGCGAATGTACAAATGGAATACATAAAGATAACTTTACCATGGATCCCCTTCGTTATTAAAAACAATAACAGGATCTTCGCTTTGGTTAAGCTCGCTTTCTTCAAATGCACGTTTCCTCATTTTATGAAACCTTCGAAGACGTTCTTTCCTGCCATGGCCTATCGATCGTCCAATAGCTTCACCATTCTTTTTTTATTCACTAACGTTAAAATTTAGGAAAAAAACCCCCGACTTAGAAAAAATAACATACCTTCATCTTGCGAACACTTTCAACTTTATAACTAACACCATGATGATTGCCCCATGATCGACTTTGATAATGATTTCGTATAGTTGCGGTGTATTGAACCAATTTTGGTAAAACCCTGATAGTAACACAAAGATCATAGTCGGGATAATTAGGTGAATTGGGCGGTGGAGGAATATAATGTCCCGTGTGAATAAGCACTAATTAAATGCAAAAAATATTAATAAATAAACATATACATATAAAGCATCAAAAATTAAATCAATTAATTACGTTAATTATAGATAACAAAAACTTATTACCTGCAATAATATCTGAATCATCCGTGTAAACATCTGTACCCCATAGAAATTGGCTTCTAACTTTATTGTTTTTCCACGTCAAATGTTTGGAAGAAACCCATATTTCTAATAAACCATTTTCATGAAATTCTAAAGGTGGTAGAATTTCTTTCGGATTGTATATTATATGTCCTAAATTTAGGAAAGGCCGAAAATGTGTTCTTGTTCATTTTTTCTATTACAAAATCTGCCTTTCTCAAAGAACAATTTTTGATCTGCAAATTTAACTAACCTAGATGCCGTTCTTCTCGACCCTCCATGTTTAATGCCTCATCATTTTGAACAATCAAATGTGGCTCTCTTTGCAAATTTATTCCTTCAAATAAGGAATAATCAAATGAAAATTCGTCGCTCTGATTGTCTTCCTCAGATTCATTTCCTTCTCCAATTTCCCTATTGTTCTCGTTTTGATCATAATCAATTACATTATCGTTTGAATTGTCTGAGTTTAAATCTTGCGTTCCGTCATCAATATCGTTCTGATCTGGTTCCTTGTCTGCCTGTTTTTCTGCTAATTCTTCAGTGTGTATATCATTTGAGCTTTCATCAAAAATTAACGAATGATGTGGATTGTTATAATCATGTGAATTATGCTGTTCGATCAAATTATTCCCAATTCCAATTTCCTTAATATTCATGTCAAGCTTTCTAATAAATGGTTCATCATTACTTGAAAGAATCGCTGATATAGACATTGAGTTAGGGGGAGTGGTGGAAACATAGTGAGGAATCGGCGGTAAAGGACCTAAAGAATCAATAGAGGGTAATTCTTGCTGTTGGCCCGAAGGCGCTCTAGGCGAAGTGATTGGTAAGACTGGTGAATCAGTTGCGGATAAGGAGTTTATAGAAAGATTTGATAGGCTGGTCGGAGGAATTGGTAGTTGAAATTTTGGTTGGAGAGCGTTTGGAGGTGCTTGCGAAGGAGTGACTGAAATAGGTGGTAAGAGTCTAAGACGTTTAGTTTGTTGATCAGACATATTTGTTTAATTTTTAGACAATTATTAACGTTAACCTGTTGAGTCCTTTAAAGACTGAAATCACATGACTTGTTTCATCTATATATTAAAAAAAGACATTGCATATTCGTGTAACATATTTGCCAAAGCCCGATATGGCTATCGTTTAACGATAGGGTTGGAGGCACAGGGACATGGGCATGCCAAAAGACAAAAGGCATGCCAAATCACATGACATAGGCAATTAAAATCATTGGCTAAAATTAAATACCATTTAGCAAAATTATACAACTTACTCTCTTATTCTAGTAAAGAGTTAATATAGTAAAGATTTTTTGAATTTTAGAATTATTTAACTTCAACTTGATATGTGAATAAACTATAGTGAGGATTTTTTTTTAGCCAGGACTTCACTATAACAATAATAAGTTGTACTTCACTATATTAAGTTAAAGTTTAAAATTTCTGAAATTCAAAATTTCTCACTATATCAGGTTGTTTTATATAAATAATTTAAATATATACTGTATATAAAAAATCTTTCAAATAATTACTCTTACTGTACAGTTAAGTGATATATATTTGGGAGCCAGTTTTAGAATTGTATTTAGATTAGTTGGTTATAAATTTTTTATAATAGGTTTAAACAATTTTGATTGGTCAATAGTTTGTCATATGACTTTATAAGACATGCCCTAAGGGCATGCCTCAAGCCAAGGCATGCCCATTGAGGCATGCTGATTTTTTTACCCATGCCCCCAACCTTATTTAACGACAAGTCCTAATACTAGTTTTATATAATTAATTTAAAGATTTTATTTACTACAGTATAAACTTTAAAGACTAGATTATTCTCAACTTAAATATCAAATTTTCGAAAAAATTTGAATATGTTTATTGATTTGAACAAGTTTACTTAAAGGCTACTTTGCAGAACTTTTAAAAAAATAAAAATATAACAAAAATATATTAATTGTATTTTAAAAATATTTATGCTAACTTTGTTGTAACACTATAATAAAAATATATTTATTATATTTTTTAGTTATATAATTAGCATATTTTTATTATAGA